TGGTGGAAGCTGTGCAAAGGATGAGAATTTATGGGTATATTTATATGTGTATATTTGTAAAACATAAACAAAGGCCAATGGAAATTAAGTGTAAAGAAAGAAAAAGAAAGGTAAAGGTAAGGCAAAACCTAGAAAATGAAAAAGAGTTGTAGGAGGGTACATGTGGGTCAAACAAAAATAGATGGGGAATGGAATTGTTGGATTAAGATTAAAGAAATGTACCAAGTAAAGTTGGTGTGTCTTCAACACAAGGAAAAATAATGCGCCTCATTTCATAACACACATCTTGGAAATGATGACTACTCGCATTACATGAATTTCAATCTTAATCCCATAAAAGACCATAATATAAAAGCAAAGAACAAATTTAGATATTGATCAACTAATTTGAGTATATATTGAATATATTGGCTTAATCTCAAGGAAGAAAATATCTAAGAACCCATTCAGGATTGGTTTTGTAGGAAGTTCTTCTACTTATAAGAGCCATAAATATCTTTAAATTTTTCTATCAAATGCTTTCATAATCCTAAACAAACCCTATCGAAGGTTTATATCTCAACGAGATATATAGAATCCAAAACTCACAATTTCACTTTAATTAGCTCATTTACATAGTTAAGGTGTCTTCTTCGCAATTTCTAATTTGCACATTTTACAGCTTCATTTTACTAAAATAAGCCATTATTAAGTTATTTCCTAAATATAAACTCTTGATTTTGGTTGCTTTAGGGTAGGTAGAGTATTATATATATGAAGTAACAATTTGAACCAAAATATTTTTTACATTGTCTTGGGGTGTAGTTAATTTGGTCCAACTGACTAGCTAGGAGGCTATTAATGGAGTTCCCAGTTCATTCCCAAAAGCTCATGACTTTGTTTGATGCCCCCCTTACCCAAAGCACAATTCAAATATTGCTTGCAGTAGACAATGCTAAAAGCATATTCAAGCTGGACGCGTAAGAAAAATAGCTCACCATTCAAAGTTTCCACAGTTTACTATTAGCACTTGGAAAAAAGTAAAACAACACCATCTCTGGTTGACTTGCCCACAGTTGTGTATTGACTCGATGAAATTATTGTGTACACCAATGTAATCATACATTCATTCTAATATTTGTAAATATATCATCTCTTAAATCTGGACCCAAAACTTAATTTTTTTTTTTCTAGAGCTTGTAGTTCAAACGATTAAGAGTACACCCGAGGTCTTAGGATCGATTCTCCCCTTCCAGTATCACTTGTATAAAAAAGAAAAAGAAAAAAAAAGCTTATATATATATATATNNGATCGATTCTCCCCTTCCATTATCACTTGTATAAAAAAGAAAAAGAAAAAAAAGCTTATATATATATATATTAATTATTTCTTTTATATTTCTTTTGGCTACGTAATTGCTAAGGTATTGTCACATAGTGTAGCAGAACAAAATGACAGGAACTACATTATTCAAGGTTTGCTTTAACTGGTGTAGCTAGCAGGGTTGAACGTACGCACCCACCACCTGCCACTGAAACTGGGGATAAGGTCAATCAATTCAGCCTGTTGAGTGTTGATCCCATCTTGATTGATTCTTTTAAACTTAATTTGGTTCACATAATTCCACCAAATTAATGATAAAACCATAGACTTCAGAAATCTGGAAAGACCCATGTGAGTCCTGCCTTTGCATTTTTTTAATGGTAATTATCTACAAAATTGACAATAGTATTGGAATTGAATGATATAAATATAATATAATTGATCCACAGGACAGGTTTGGGTATGCTCATCATGCATTAGCAAACCGAGTTAAACGGCAGGTTTGGTTATGCTTTCACATTAGGAAATCGAGTAAAACAAACAACTCGATTCCCTTCTAAATTGAGATAAGTATTTTATCACTAAAACCCTTTTCTCAAGAACACGAAAAAACTCGAGTTCGATTGGTCAAATTACTAACACAGATTAGGTTTTACGAAAGATATGATCAATAATCTGATTAGCACTCGTAGTAAAAATAATTTCCAATCAATAAAAGCCATCTTGTTAAGAAGTAGAAGAAAGATTGTCATATTGCCGTGCAGGGCTGTCATACCATCAAGAAGTTAGAGGACCCATTTGTGGGGTCTAAGCAAAGACAAATTGCGTGATGCCATTCCAAGCACTCTCTTTCACAATTCACATTTCCTCTCTTGCTTCCCTTTCTCTTTTTTTGGTGGCTTCTCTCTTTCTTTATCACCCTCTCTCCATTAATTAAAGTTAGAAATCCTTCTTGGTTTTTGGGGAAGATCACCATTACCAACTTGAACTTTTCTTGTGAGATTCACTCTGTTTTTTCTTTTAAAATTTGTATTGCCAAGCTCGTATTACATTGTCCATGTCCACTTGCATTACCAAAATACCCTTGATCTCCTCCAACAGTTAAAGAACAAAATAATAAACTACTCTAATTTATAGTGGATGGTAATCTGACTCAAATGAAAAGGGAAAACACACTACCTGATTAATTGACCTTATTCACATTCGCTGATCTCGTCAATCTCTTGAAAATTCTCAAATTAGTTAAGCTACTAAAATAACATAATAGAGAAATTATTGGCTATTGATTGCAAGAGAAGTCTCATTGAACTCAATATGAATAAGCGATAGAATAGTATTGATGTGAAAAAGCTAATATGAATGTTATGTATTTCATTCAAATTTCTCCATTATAATTTAACTTTCAGCCGAAGGCATTGAACCCTTGACCATCTTATTTTACCAAAAGTCATTGGCTCATTGCCATGTTTTCCAATACCCACCATAATTCACGACAATTAGTGCCACACAATGATTCTTATTTTCTGGTCAATAGGTCTAGTACTCCAATGACCATTACAAGCATTAATTTGGTTTCCCTTAGTATAATTTTTTTTTTTTGGGTGAAATTTTTTGCAACCATTTCTCTTATATTTATTAAAACTATTGTCTTATTTTTTGCATTTGAAAATTTTAAACTAGTTGTCAATCCATGCAATGTGGAGGGAAATCATTGTTAAATTAAAAATTGTAGCATAATTTCAAATACATATTTGGATCTTTTTTTTTTAATTAATTATAGTTTTTCTTAAATTTCAAAGGCTATATTTCACTTAAATACTAATTCATACCAGAGAAAACGTGTTCCGTAGGCCACACAATTTAGTGTGAGGTTATCTTTTGCTATAATTACCCAACTTCTATAAAAAAAGAAAACGGAAAACGTGATAAAATCAAAGAGATCTAATGAATACTTAAATTAAGGATTTAAGTATTTACTGAGCATGTTACCCATTATGCATCTTTTGACCCAAAAAACAAGGTTCAGTTTGTGCATTTCATCCGTACATATCTAACTGGATGGGTAGAATGCAAGTAATCTTCAATCTGCTTTTTCTTTTTTGGCCCCAAAAAAAAATCTGTTTTAAATCTGTTTTTCTTTTAATTTGTTTTTTTAATTATAAAGACAGATATTTACCAACTAGTATGTATAACTCACCTTAAATAGAAAGAGACTTGTAACTCAAGTGGTTAAGAGCATTTATTTCTACACGCTTGTATTTAAAATAAATATATAAAAACTTACCTTGAATAAAGTCATGCTACCACTCTCTCAAAAATAAAAAGTCACACCCAATATCGTAGATCCTAGATTCGAATTACCCCTCCCCTACTTAAATGGGGACAACTATCCTTAAACTAAAAGTTAAAATCTTATGATAAAATTTCATATATTGGAAGACGCGCTAAGTTTGAACTCCTCTCGGGCACCTTCCGTTGGCCAATATTATAAATACCCAAATTTTAATATTTGGCTGTAAATTGCAATGCATGAACTTGGTGCCAAATTCAACGTTACACTTCATATACAAGTTGTCTAAATTGAGATATAGGGGCTTTTTCGGTGTTTAATTTGTAATGACATGGGATTCATTTTCCTCCTAATTTGGATTTTGTAAAATTAGAAGAAAAAACACTCACGAAAGTCCATCCATTACCTATAGAAAGATTGGGTAGTTTATGCCCTTGTGGCTGATGGACTTGGTGTCTAAGTTATGAATACAATTATCGCTTACTCTCTTTTTTTTAATTAAAAAGGAACTTAAAGGTTCCTATCTTAATCATTTGGAGACGTTTGATAACAATATTAATTGTTTCTTGATTTATCGGGACAAAACTGAGGGTTACTCAAACACTTCGTATTAGAGATAATAGTGACTCCAAAAACGCACCTTAAAAATAATCAATCGTTACAACTAATGAATAATGAAGACCGTATAATCTAGAGATTTCCCTTTTTTTTTCTTTTACTTTGCCCTAAATTCGTGGTTAAAACGAAGGGCTAAGTTAGTCATTTGGCGTATATAGTGAGTCATATATATATATATATCTTGAAATCTTAATCAAACAATAATAAGAAAGTTTTTGTGAAAGGAAAAAAAGAGAAGAAAACCAACAACCATGCAATTTGGTCGGAGGTATTATTGTTGTGTGATCTTTTCTCTCTTTTCTAAGATAAGGAAGGCAAAACAAGAGGAAACATAGCTGTTGAGAGTTTGAATCTTCACAGCCAAGTAAAAATCTAATTAACTCTTTTGCATTTTAAAAAAAGGACCTAATTTACTAATAAATAATACGAAGAATCCAGAAAAATTAATAATATCTTTTAAAGCGTTGGAATTATGCAAAAGAATATATATATATATATATAAATAAATAAAGGGAGAGGTAGAGAAAGCTGGCGAGAGATGCATGGGCCATATAAAAACAATCCCAGCGGCAGCGGTAGCGGCAGAGAGACCTGCACGCTCAACAACAACTCTACATCTACATCATCACTCTTTCACAAGCACCTTCATTTTTCTCTCTCTTATTTATTAAATTTTAATTTATTTAATATTTTGGTGAAAAAACCAAAACCCTTTTGTCAAAATAAAATAATAGTAAATGGGTTATTTTTTGTTTTTTCAAATATGGGGTTGTTTTTATTTGATTAAATGGTGTGATGTTGTTGGTGTTGGAAATAACAAGCACGAGACTCCCTCTCAAGAAAAAGCCAAACCCCACGCGAAGAAGAAGAGAAGAAGCAAAGGAAGGAAAAAAGAGAAAGAGAGCAAAGAGCAAAGAGCAAAGAAAGAGCAGAATAAGGTGTCTCTCTCTTGGACTGATTCGTTTCAATCGCATCTATCTCTTCAATTCCAAGCTCCTATTCTCTCTCTCTTTCTTTCTATTCTTTCTCTCTCCATCTCTATATTAACAAAGCTAATAGCATCATAGCAAACAAAGGAAGGCCAACAACAAAAACAACAACAAGGAGAAAGAAAAAGTTAGGTGAAAACAAAGTGCCCCAAGTAAATAAAAGAGAGACAGAGATGGGAAGAAGGGTAAGAGAATGGTGCTGATGCTGAAGAAGGTGGAGGTGGTGGTGGTGCCCTCTCTCTCTCTCAATACACATAATTCATCTGATTCCTTCTCTTTCTTTCTCTGAAAAGTATATATCTTTCTGTTTTTTTTATTTTTGGGTTTTTTAAAATCCTTCTTCTACTTCTCTATCTATCTATCTATCTATTTCTCATTGAATAGTCCGCCTACTGCTTGGTAGGGAGGCATCTTTCATGCTTGTTATGTGCTAGCGTTTATTGTTCTTCCCTATTCCCCTTATTAAGTTCCTCTGTCATCTTTTGGACTTTTAACCAATTGCCAATACCAAACCTCTCTTTCTCTCTCTTCCCCACCTATTCTTTCTTTTCCAATACATTATACATTTATTCCTGTCACAATCTTCTCTTCTATATCATCATCATCATCATCAGCATCACCAATCTACAATCAACAATGGCAGTTCAAGCTCAATACCCTTCAAATATCCTCTTTCTAAACAGGTTTGCATTCTCTCTTCTGCTTCCTTTGGTTTTGGATTTTTATCAGCAAACCATATCTTCAATCTATATATCTCTCTTATCTAATTAATCCCTGCTTTGGTTTCCACTGATTCTGCAGAAACTCACAAGAAGGGCTTGATTATTCCTTACAAGCACAGCCAGGAGGATATCTTGATCAATCCCACATGCTATTCAACAATGGAGGAGGAGGTGAGTCTCTTCAAATTCATATCTTTTGATCACCCAATTCTGCTTTTGGGCCATAAACACCAATTCAATCAATAAAAGATTGATTTTTTTGAATTTGGTTTCGATTGATTTGATCACAGCAGTCAATAATACTACCAATCAGCGCAAAAGAGGAAGAGAAACTTCAGCTGCCACTGAAATCTCACCTTCAATCCTTCCTTTCTCTCTGCAACAACAATCCCAACCTCCTCCTCCTCAGCTCATCGACCTCTCCCAACTCCACAGCCACAACCACAACAATCCCAATGTGGTCTCCACAGGCCTCCGTTTATCCTTTGGAGACCAACAACAACAACAACAGCAACAGCAGCAACAATTTCAACAGCATCACAATCAACAACAACAACAACAACAATCTTCAGCTTTGTTCTCTGTTTTAACAGAGGACTTTGCTGCCCAAATCAAACACCAGCGGGACGAATTAGACCAATTCCTTCAAGCCCAGGTAGTAATTTTAACTTTCCTAAAATGGGTTATTAGCGTTTTTTTAATTTGTCGAGAAAAAGCAATTGAATTGAATTTATGGTTTTTGTATTTTTTATAGGGGGAGCAATTACAGCGCACATTAGCAGAGAAACGGCAGAGGCACTACCGTGCGCTACTGAACGCAGCGGAGGAATCAATAGCTCGTAGGTTGAGAGAGAAAGAGGTGGAGGTTGAGAAGGCCACGCGTAGAAATGCCGAGTTGGAAGCACGTGCTGCGCAACTTAGCGTGGAGGCCCAGGTTTGGCAGGCTAAGGCCCGGGCACAACAGGCCACTGCTGCGACCCTACAGGCCCAACTACAGCAGGCTATGATGAGCAGCGGCTTTGTGGCGGCTCAGGATAGCAGGAGAGGGGACGATGGAGTAGCGTCCTCGGCGGGCGTAGAGGGCCAAGCTGAGGACGCCGAGTCGGCATACATTGACCCAGAACGAGTGACCATGTCTGCCCCGAATTGTAAAGCATGTCGAAAACGGGTCGCCTCGGTGGTTATACTGCCGTGCCGGCACTTATGCCTCTGTACAGAGTGTGACCAAATGGCTCAGGCCTGCCCATTGTGCCTCTGCATGAGAAATTCAAGTGTGGAAGTCTTTCTTTCTTAGGGCCCAAGCCCAATGCCGGAAGCCCAGGCCCAGGAAGAGGCGAGACGGCACGAGAGCAAGGGTATTAAAAAAGAAGTGAAAAAAAAAAAGGAAAACCAAATAATATTTGGGGTATAATAAAATTATTATTTGTTCTTTTTTGGGGAAAATATTCTGATATCCCACTCAATTTTTTTTTTCATGTTCTCTTTTTGGTTCCCCCTCTTGGAGTGATTTACCTAGAGGTAATGTACATGGCCACGTGGGTAGTGGCATTGGGTTTTTTTTTTTTTTTTTGGGTGAATTCTATTCATATATAAATTCTTTTATTTGACAAATTCTTTGCAAATGTGTCTTTTATTAGCTTATTTACCTCATAGTGTAAATGATGATGTCTTTTATAAAGTTTCTTTCTCCCACTTTACCACATTTCACTCAAAATTTTCTTCTTTTTTGACATTTTTTTTGGGTTGGTGCTGTCTTTCCATAATGTGACATGCAGTATTTCAACATTTTAAGTTTCTGTCTGTCACCACTGAGAAGCTGATCGAAAGGAGACAAAATCAAGAGTTCAAATTTGAAATTAGGTTTTTGGGATACATGAAGAAAGCAGGCATGATGTATGTCTTCTAGTGTTGAGGAAGTATGTCTTGTAATGCTGCTCATTTCTTCACATCAAAGAGGTTTTGGTCCTCTTTTAACTTTCTACTTTCCCATCACCTATTTTCACTTTCTATTTACTCATCGAAGAAGGAAAAAAATTGAAAAGATAAAAACATGTTTTTTTTTTTTTTGGGTCGAAGTTAGGAAAGATATGAAGAAAACTCACACACACAGATACCTGAGCCAATCGAGCTAACACCCCATAGGCAAAAAGGTCTGTAAATTCCATAGCTTCCTTCCTTTAGCTTGGTAAATTCTTTAGCTTCCTTCCATAGGAATTTACCAAGCTAACTTTATAATTATCATCAATTGGTTTATAGCTGGAATCGGAGATCGGACTCCATTTGATGATTTGCTTCCTTCCTTTAGCTTGGTAAATTCCTATGGCAAAAAGGTTGGCTAGTATATTCTTTTCAAAGAATTTGCTTCCTTCCTTTAGCTTGGTAAATTCCCTTTGATGATTTGATATTCAGAGGGCTAATATATTCTTTTCTTTTTCTAGAATATGTTTTAATACTTACAACTTGATAGGGAGTAACCTTGAAGGAGTTTTAACTTGCCATATACGTGGCTTAGATCACATTGTTTTGACCCAAATTTTGGGTTAGGGTTGGTTGCCAAGTCAAAGTCCGTGTGTGAGTAAAGTCTATGGAATGGGCTTGAGTGAACGGCCCCAAATGACTGAGAATGTTACGCAATAAGAATTCTATAATAAAGGATTAATATTTGGTCATTAGGTGAGGTCGTATCTCTTAACTGTTAAATCAAATTGATTAGCCTGATTCAACGGTTAAGAAATAGGACCTCATCTAAGGGCCATATTTAAGGCCCTCACTATAGAATGACTCTGTTACGCAAACCAGCTCATTGCCTGAGAACCCATGATAAAACGGTCATTTCAATAGACTTGACAAACAGGTCGTGTTTGTCGCGTTTATGTTGTGTTTGTGTCAATCCGCTTTCTTAATGGGTTGATATGAACTCAACTTGCTAAATTAACAGGACCAGAAATGAACATAACCCATTAAAATAACGAATGATACAATATGACTTGTTTCACCTGTTTTAGCCTACACACTAATCGCATTTAAGTCATAGCGTTACAACAACCTTTTTACGAATTTAAGAGCCAAAATGCGAATCCAGTACAAATTCAGGGACTAACTCCTAAAAAAACCCTAATTCATAAAATCCTGTTACAAAAACCTTGAATTGTGGAGAAAATCATGTCAATATCAATAATGAGGAAGTTGAACAAAACCAAACGAAGACTTGATCCCTTGCGGCATTATAATGAGTAGCTTCATCTGTGACAAGTCAATCATAAAAGGTGCGCTCCCACTCAAGATAACAGTGGTAGATCAGCCACATGTGACGACTTCTGTAATGTTTCGAGTACTTTGCCTTACAACTTTCACACAAGGTTTACTCATTCATGAGAATTGTGACCCAAGTCGAAGTTCTTGAAGATGATTAGGACAACCGAGCCTTGTTTTAAGGGAGGGGGAACCTACAACCAACAAGTATTCCTTCATCAGCCACAACCATTTGAAGAAGTCCAAAACTAGCACATTATTATCAACATCATTTTGTAAGTTTGGTCTTTGGCCCCATACCGGCATGTCCACAACGTCACATTCACACACCCGAAGGAGGTTTTTGTTCCTTTGTTTTGCAGCGCAGCTGACACGCGACAGTGAAATATTTTTAGGTTAACATGTTTTTTGCTAATTGAAGGAGAAAATTGTTCCAACCGAGCATTTGAAGGCACGATGTCAAAATTGACATCTCATAAATCTTGACGTTAAATATTTTTTTAATATTTTTTTAACCTTAAACCTCATTATTAGTTATTATTTTTAAAATTTTATGAATCATGTAAGCCCTATTTATTTTAAATTTCAAATATAAATAAATAATGTGATATTTGAAATTTAAAAAAAAGTCAAATTATCAAAGCCATCAAATTCAATATTTTACATTTTGCATCTTTTGGGACCATAGGAAAGTGATTAGTCACAATGGCGGCATCTGCATGGTAGCGCACCATGCTCTAGGACTTTATCAAAGAGACCTATCACTTTTCTTTTTTCCTTTCTTTCATTTATTAATAATTGAAAAGAGGGACGGACCTAAGTGATGGCTAAGTGAATTTTATTTTTACTTTTCCTTATACTTACTATATAAGTTTTAGGATTTAGTTCAGTCCAAAACTAACAGGTCACAGTTTATCAATAAAGTAAATCTAGACGATCTTATTTCGAAATCCGGAGTCCGTCTCTTAAAGAAACATAAATTTTAATGAACAAGGAATTGGTTGAAAGGTGCCTGCATTTGGTGAGAATGACCTCCACATATTCCACGATGGCTGTCTATAAAAGAAGGTCAAGTACTCAAGTTGAATGTTAAATGCTATAAATTATTGTAGTGTAGGAATACTTATCTCATTTTAGTGGTGCTCACATTTTGGAATGCTTCTTTCATTAAGTATATGCGAATATTATGTAACCATCATCATACTTATAATACAAATCAAAGTTAACATGAAATTAATTGACTGGTTAAGATTGACCATCAATTATTTCATTCAAATTTGTAAGTAATGTATCTTTCTAATTCTAACACGAATAATAAATAGATTGGATAGTATTTTATGAATCCTTGTAGAACTATTAGATTTTTTATTTTATTGGTTTGTTAGAAAATACGGCAAATTTTTTTTATTTTATTTTATTTTATGGAGAAAGATAATAGATTATTGCATTCATAATTCAGGCTTAAAAGCTGTCAGCTACAAGGACCAATACAAATACAAATAAGCATATAGAGTTTATACAAATACGGAAGCACTATGTAAATGAAATTTTAATTGAAGGAAAATTGTATGAGTTGCAAATTTTGTTTACCAAATTGTACGTTTTTGGTTCATACAAGATATCTCAAGCTAAATTGTAAATATAAACAAGTTGAGTCGTCATGTATAAAGTACTCCAGTAGGATTAATTAAAAATCTTAAATTAAGGTCCACAACTATTTCAGAGAGACTCGAAATAATATGACTCAAATATGAAACAATTTAACACCTACCTATCTTTCCAACAAATTTCAAATAGTGCAAGTCCCAAATGGTTAAGAGCATTTACTCATGCACCCGAGATTCTATGTTCGATTTCCCCATCTTACAATATCGCTTGAAAAAACAAACTTCAAATAATAATGCTTATGAAAGAACATAAAGAAACTTATCGAGATAAAAGAATATTTAGTAAATTATCAAATCCAAGAAATTATAACAAGAAGCTAGAGTAAAATACAATAAAAATGATATAATAATTTTCCCATTGTTAAATCATTATTGCTGTTGTTGGATTTGAGTTCATAACTGCCTCCATAATGGTTTCGTAGTAACATCATGCCATCTGAGGGTCAAGGCATGTGACATGATCTTATTAATGCTCGGCAGTCAGTACAGCACGAGCCAGATATGAGTACATGAATTGGAAAATAATGCCAGGCCTTAAGCATATGTGACTGATATTTGGAGATTGTATAGTCGTTATCGCTCGAGTGGGTGGTCTTCAGTTGTTGATGCATTTAGGTACTTTAAACGCATCAACAACTGCGAGACATTTCATTCAAATGTAAGCGATGAATTAAAATATTCTACATCATAATTTTTAGCACAATGTTGCAGTACGCCTCATTAAAATTGATATCATTGAGCCTTTTTTTTTTCTTTTTCACAAACACATATATGTTTATCTGTTGTATACACATTCTATTCAGAATTTGTATTTCTACGAAAAGCATAACTTTTAAAATAAAATAAAATTTCAAAATTGGCAAAGATTCGATACATCTTGAACCTATCTCTAATCAAGATCATGATAAGCATGAATAACTTGTGCTGCGCCAAACTCTAATAAAGATTATTTGATTTGGACTTATTATATAGAGTGTGACACAAAGTACCTAGGCTACGTAAAATTCTCTTCAGCTTTCAAAGGAGGGGGAATTTGGTAGAAGCATGGGAAATTCTCTAACTCCACAAAGCCTCCATTATTGTTGCCGCATGGTTTCTTGTAAAATCAACAACTCTAATTAAAGCAATTTTTCAAGTGCACGGACACGTTTTTAGTCCTTTGAATCTTTGAAATGAAACAACTGGCCACAACCAACAGATATTATTGGAATGTACATCAGAATGATTTCAATTCTGGACTTCTCCCCACACGCATTTTCTATCACATAAAGAACCACATACTTTCAAAATCAAGTGAGATCAATTAAAGGAGAGTAGTTGATCCCAATTTCAATTTCTTGATTCCCCTATCTATGTTCTCGAGTCGTAACTTTCTATATTCCTAATAATAAGTAAACATGCATATATCTAGTAAGTAGTGATATTATTTTTTCTATAGTCCACAGACATGCATGATTTCCACTGATTACTGATCTTATTGTCTGAATTATATAATTAACTCCCAAATGTGGCTATACCTTGCAGATTGTGATCACGTGGCCATCACACTAAACTGTCCAACATTGCTTCATGAATGAAGGGATTATGTGATA